TTTCCATCAGCCACGTGGACAACGTTACTAACGGTTTTGATCCAGTGGCCAACGGAGTGGGACGGTTTAAAGTTGAGTGGCCAGTGGGATAAGTTTTAAAGGTGAGTGAGTAAACCGTGACATATATGAAAGTTCAATGGCTAATGAAACAATTAACTCGAAAATGGGTGAAAAAATTACAGTTCCAAAAAAAATTAAAATCATACATATATGAAGTCAGCATTCCATCATGATGATGCAATATGAACAGTAATAGACTTTGCTCTTTTATATATTGTAAAGGAAATATATTCAGTTTTCACATGTCGTTTCAGACGTTGGTGATTTGGGTTGATTTTCATTTGACTTTATTTGTATCTATTAGGGGATTTATTCATGATATGGTTTGATTAAATGGAAGTTACGGGTCCAATTTAGAGGTGAAAGCTCTTTCTTCATGTGAATGCATTAGAAAATTTTATTTGGATTGTGAAATGAGTAGTGTATAATTTCTATAGTTTTTAATTTCATCTCTTGTTTAAAAAGACATTCATTGCTTATAGCTCATTTTTCACCCTGGTTATGGTACAAAGGTCTGTTCATAGCTGATCGTGGATAGGTTAGCAGAGGCAGTATTGTAGTGGATGGATGTTGGGTAAAATAAATGATAATTTAATGGGAGCCAACTGAGGCTAAGCCATTTGAAATGTACCATGGTACCGTCGTTGAAATTTCGTGATTTTTCTTTTTAAGTTATGAATCCTACAACATAAAAGAGTGTTGATTGTATTGATATATTAGCATCGTACTGACATTGTATGTCGAAGTGACACTTAACTTTAAAAGTTATATCGTGTTACTTAACTTCTTTTTTTATTATTTTTCATCATTTTTTAAAAAAAAAATTTGTCACTTTTTTGAGTGATCAATGTCAATTTTTAGTAAAAGTGTCATTTAACTTAAAAAAATGATAGTGTCACATTTTAATAATTTTATACCTTATTTTTTACTTTTAAAATTTTTTTATAAGATTTTTCAAAAGGCATCTAATTTTTGATATATATTTGTAAGTTGGCCCTATCAACTTTGCCCATGTTTCAAGCACTCATTAAAACCAAATAACCTCTTCACAAAATTGATTAAAGCCCCTATAAAAAAAAAGGGGAAAAGTGCATAATTACCCCATTATAAGAACACATTTCAATTTTGGTAAACTCCCTAAAACTTTTCATAAATCAGGTGGTAAATCTTAATATTAAATATATAATTATACTATAATATATACTAACTTTGAATTATCTCATGTACTATATTTAAAAAGATTTCTCTCTCATCTCTCACAACCAAACGTGATTTTCCCTCTCTACAAACCCGACAAGCTCCTCTCTACAAACCCAGCTCACTGTAAATCTCCCAAATCACAAAGAACAAGGTCACAATCCCGTAAACATACTTCTGATTTTTATTGCTCTGGAGAAGTTGA